GCGCGAAGCTGTGGAGTAGGAGACCCAGCTGCCACAGGGCGAGACGCAGCTGCAGTAGATGTGCTCTGGACCCTGGAAACACAGAGGGGCTGAGCGGGGCCCGTCAGATCCGCCGGCAGCCTGGCACAGGCAGCGCAGCTGGCAGAGGGAGAGCGGAGGAGCAGGCACCAGGGCGGGACCCAAACAGCCTTACCTTGCTCTTGAGCTGCACAAGGTGCTCAGGCATGCGGCGCAAGGGAAGGACCTCGCCATCGCTTCCTAAGACGACAAGAAACCACGCGGCACATCAGTGACAGTGGGGAAACCGCATGGGTCTTGTCAAGCAGCTGGGGATCCTGGGGGAGCAGTGCGCGAGGGAGAGGCCAGACCCTTCCCCAACCTCCCCCGAGGGTGAACTCTCCAGAACCTGGCCCAGCTCCGCTGGAAGCAGGAGCACAGCCTCACACCGGCAGCGCAGCCCATGCCCAGGCACACACCACGCTGGGAAATGCAGCCATGCCTGTGGCCATTGCCAGCGCAGGGCTGTGGGAAGGAAGGGGCCCAGGCTAAACCACCCCTCAGCTGCCCAAGCAGCAGGACAGCTCGTGCCCAAAATCCTGCAGGCAGCACAGGCTCTGCCACAGGGCTTGCACCAGAGAGCTGGGCCTTGCGACTCACCCGTCTCATCAGTGGAGCCAAGTCTCCAGAGCTCCAGGTGCTGGGAGAACTGGAAGAGGAGCAGCCGGGCTTTCCTGGCACAGGAGACAAGGCGTCGCTGCATGCAGAAACGAGAAGACTGTCATGAACCCACAGCCTGGCAGAAAGGGCTGGGCCAAAGCCGAAACACCCTGAGGTGCTGGAGAGTCCAAGGCGGGGGAGAGGAAGAACCCAGGTCCTGTGGGGTGGGAGCCCAGAGATGGAAACCCAGAAGGACCAGCAAGACGAGCTTGCCAACTTCTACCCTCTCCATGGCAGGAGTCTCCAGATGCACCAGGGCCAGGGAGAGGTCCCAGCAGGGCAGGGAGGGCCAGCCTTCTCCCGCAGGAAGAGCCAGCCCTGCTGGCCTGCCTCCCCCCTCAGAGTGGCACTCACGTGAGGAAAGGTGAATTTGCGGAGCGCTGCCTCATAGCCCTTCTTCTGCATCTTCTCCATCAGTGGGCGGATTACCAGTTGGGCGTCCAGGCCTGGAAGCCAAGCAGAGGTCAGCCGAACTGGTACTGGGGGAGAGACCCAAGCCCTCCTTGTGACCACACTGGTCTTACCCCCAGAGATGAGAGCCGTCGAGCTGTGCGCCACAGCTCGCACCTCGTGGGGGGGATGCCCGCCCCCGGCGCTTCTCCAAGCTGCCTATCTTCACTGGCAGCAGCTGAAACTGGTAGGTGGCCCCAGTCGAGGTGCCCACAATGATGCTGTCCTCCTTCTGGTGAGAGAAACGGGGATGGGATTTGCGGACACAGACCGGGAAGAATGAGAGGGCACTGCTGGGAGGCAAGCAGCCTCACTCCCAGCCCTGCTACTGCCAGTCCAAAGGCACCGAGCCAGGCAGCTCCTGCCCGAGCACCTCCAGCCCAGCACACAGGAGCCCAGACGGGCACCTGGCTGCCCGGGGAGGACACGAGGGGACTTGCCTACCTCTGACACGGCCAGAGAGAGGACAGCTGAGGTGCTGATGGTGTGGGACTCCAGCAGTGTCCCTCGCTCCCAGTCCCAGAACTGCACCCTCCCGAAGGAGTCCGAGGTGACGACAGTGCCGCTGGAGAGGAAGGCGATGCTCCACACGATGCACTCACGTTTCACCTTCTGCACGTGGTAGTTCACCATGACCCTCTGCACGGTTTGGCCTGAGATGTGGGAAGGACGGTTGGGGGTGGCACGCGGATCCCCCCAGAGCACAGGCCTGGCCGGTGCCGACGGTCCCATGGGACAGGCCGGGCTCACCTCCCGGGGCAGGAGTTACCTGAACGGACATCGAACACGCGGAGGATGTCAATGGAGCCGGCCGCTATGTGAGTGTCCGACGGGTGCCAGGAGAGGCACAGGATGCGGCCTGCAGGAAAGGAAGCTCCAGACATGACCCCGTGGACTGGCAGCCCCTCGGTCACCGGGAC